TTGAGAGATCGAGTAAGAAATGAAGAGATACGCCGATGTACGGGAGTGGATGACATTATCCAGCGAATCACAAAACAAAAGTGGAGATGGGCTGGACACATTGCTAGAATGGCAAACGGGAGATGGACCAAAAGACTTATAGAGTGGAGACCAAGAGCCGACAAGCGTAGCCAAGGCAGACCTCCCACCCTATGGACCGACGACCTGAAACGAATAACAACTAACTGGATTGCAACAGCGAAAAACCGCGAAAACTGGAGACGTTTGGAGGAGGCCTATGTTCAACTATGGACGTGAAAGGGGGCTGCGTGATGATGATGATGATGAATATTCCTCAGTGCGGAACTCAGAACTCGAATGGCCAGATGCTATATCTTCTCTGTGTTACTCTATGGATGTGAGAGCTGAACACTAAATTTACAGACCGAAAAGAGAGAAGAAGCTTTCGAAATGTATATGTACAGACGGATGCTGCGAATCTCATGGGTACAAAGGATCATCAACGATGAAGTACTCTAGAGATGCTGAACACACAATTAAGGAAAGAAAAATGCAATACCTGGGTCATGTGATGAGAGGTGATAGATACGAGATACTACGCCTCATAATAGAGGGTGCAAGGGAAAAGATCAGTAGGAAGACGCCAGAACTAATGGCTAAAAGATTTAAGGAAATGGTATGAACGCTCGTATGTGGAAATCTTCCGGGCTGCAGTTCCCAGAGCCACAATTGCCATTTGGATCGCCAACCTTCGGCAGGAGATGGCCGGGCGTGATAAGAAGAACAATATTGATACAACAACAACAACAAACAAACAACAAACAAACAACAAGCAACGCTTTATTGTACAAAAAGCCAAAACAGCTTCATGGACAAAGCACTCACAAAACAAACAAAAGCACAAAAAAATACAAACAACAAAAAATACACAATACAAATAATACAATTCAAAAAAATTTAAGTCATTAAAATTACAAAAAGAATATACATGGACAATTGCAGAACAGTACGCAGTAAATAGATATCATTTTAGAGTTATAAAATATTAAATACTTGACCTTTGACCAGTGTGTGAGATGAGAAATTCAAAATTGTTCATAATTAAACATCAACAAAAAGGTCGTTTATCGCATATAGGACTCTCTCCAGTAAGTATGATTCTAGAGCTTTGCGAAATGCGGGAAAGAATGAAAGCGACTTGATATTCAAAGGCAGATGATTGTACATTTTTTGGCATTGTACAGTATTGAACCTTTAACTAGTTCTGAGCTCGGGGTTCGCAGATAAAGATCGTGCTCCGCATTCCTAAGTGGATAGTTATGAAATAGCCTTTCGGGAATAGCAGATATGTGCTTGCGGATTAAGCAAACGGATTCAAAAATGAATAAAGAAGGAAGAGTCAGTATTTTAAAATTTTTAAAGAAATTCTGGCAGTGAGTTCTACTGTTCAGTCCCAATAAATATCGAACTGCTCTCTTCTGAAGTCTGAAAATACGATCAAACTTTGTTGCGCAGCAAGTACCCCAGAATGGAAGGGCATAACGAAGATGGACTCAAAAAGGGCATAATAGGCTATTCTAGAGGTTGAGAAGTTAAGTTCCTTAGAAATTGATCTTAGCGCAAAACAGGCAGCGCTTAGTTTCTTAGAGCTTCGATGTGAAAGTCCCATTTTAACGAGTTGTCTACAACAAATCCTAAGAATTTCACAGAGTCCACGAGGTCAATAGTGGTGTTATTAAGTACAAAAGGTTGTATAGTACTTTTATATGACAAAACTTTAGATTTTGATGGGTTGAGGCATAGGAGATTAGAATCGCACCAAGATTGAATAGTGGATATAGTATCATATGTAACATCTGGGCCGCTCCAAGTGAAACTAGTATCGTCCGCAAAGAGGCAGATTTTACCGCTAATGTCTAGATTTGCAATGTCATTGATAAACACCAGAAACAAAATAGGGCCAAGTACTGAACCCTGAGGGACACCACATTCTATAGGCTTACAAGAAGACATAGATGTATCAATCCTCACAAGCTGCCTTCTGTTGCCAAGATATGACTTAACCCATTCGAGCGCAATCAACAATCACTCCAAATGTTGATAAGTAATTGATTAAAAGATAACTAAAATAACTTACTCGGTTTTCCATGTGATTTCACAACTTTTGTAGTGCAAGACTTACCATTTTTATACATTATATGTGTTTCTGATTGGATTTCTTATTCTCTCGTCGCTCTAAAGCGTTAACCTCTGCCGTTTTTCGATAGTTGGCTGAAACTAATTAACGGACACAACAATTTGGATCGGCAGAGGTGTGAAACAAAGGGCCGACGATGGCTAGCCTCGGGCCATGCGGGCAGATTTGAAAGAAATAAGGACAGAGAGAGGAGATATGGTAGAGAAGGATGGGAGCTTGATGAAATATTAAGAGCGAATTGGGCTTCAATGGGAACCAAAATGGTGTTGATCGGTACCTTTAAAGTGGAAGAGGAGGATTGAAATAATTGTCTAAGACAGATTAAGATGAGATAGGTATAGGAATGTAATTATTACCTATATTTTAATATCAAAAATATTAAATATTACGTTAAAAAACGTAATTGGTTAAATCTAGGCGAATTTGTTATACAGGCTTGCAAATTATAAGTTTTGGGTTCGTTGAAGGACTATTAGAGCTACAATTTAAAAATATTTTTACAAGATACAGAGTGTCTCAAATAAATAAAAAATATCAAAGTTTTATTTTTTTTTAAATGGAGCGCCCTGTATATTATTACATTTTTAGTTCCTGCGATTAAAATAACAGTAAATTTGATTAAGGTTTACCGCATTTTAATCTTACAGCTTTTGAAATATTTAGGTTTTTGTCAAAATACAGTAATAATTTTAATGCTTCATTTCTCCAGGCGTATTTAAATTTTTAAAACCAGATATTGTACTGAAGTATTTCTATTTACTAAATCTTCTGTTGCAATAATACAAATTATACTACCTTATACAGAGTGTCTAAAAATTTATTTTAAATAATTACTAGCTTTAAACGACAATAACTTGTTTAATTTAAATGGAACACCCTGTACATTTTATGAGAATCAGATGCACAATTTAACTGTCTATCAAATTGTATTATATAATTTTTTACCTATCTTTTCAAGTTTTCCTAGAAAATGCATTTTCTTATAATTATTTAGACCACATTTATCAATGTACCCATGGAATATTGACATTTTAGATTATTTTTAAAGATGTAACAAATTTTTTAAAGAGTACAGATACTAATATCACAGATAACACATAATGTGTTATCTGTGCTAATATTGTCGATATAAAAAAATATTTGTTAAAGAGAACCAATTAATATGTTCCAGTATTCAAACTACATTAATTGACTGTTGGCGTTGATTAATAATAATTGCTCCAAATACTAAAAAACTGAATTTTGTGTGTGTATTAGGCCTTGTATATGGTATTAGATAGTGTGATAAAAAGTAACACCTTAAAAAATGTATTTCATTTTGTGACGAAAGCTTTTTTTAATGACGAATAATTTATAACAGAGACGTTCATTTTTATAACTTATTATTATATTGATTTCTGATTCAAATCCACATTTATTTAGAATAATTTATTAACTAACACAATTAAGTATGTAATTAATTAATATTTGAGCGGAAATAATGGTGGTATATTTAATTAATGGTATACTCTTTTATAAAAATTTAAATAGTTTTTTTTTTGTATACAAATCGGCTAGTAATATTATCGTTTTTAGCACCTGTACATTTTGTACATTTGTTGCTTTAAAAACAATCTAAAATGTCAATATTCCATAGGTATATTGTATATTGATAAATGAGATTTAAATTATAAGAAAATGCATTTTCTACGAAAACTTGAAGGGATAGGTAAAAAATGGTATAATAAAATTTAATAGGCAATTAAATTGTGCATCTGATTCTTCTAAAATATACAGGGTGTTCTATTTAAATTAAACAAGTTATGGTTGCTTGTTAAAAATTATTTAACCAAATTTTTAGACACTCTGTATGAGGTGAGGATGAGGTAGTATTATTTTATTATTGCAACACACAACTGACAACAAACTTAAGTAAATATTTAGTATTAAAACTTTGATACCCTTTGAGAAATGAAGCCTTAAATTTAACTGGAATTTCACAAAACAAAAATATTTCAAAACGGTAAGGTTTAAGCATGATAAACCTAATCAAATTCTACCTTATTTCAATCGTAGAATCAAAAATAGAGTAATATACACAGGATGTTCCATTTAAAAAAATACAACTATATTATTTTTAATTATTTTAGACACCTGTATCCTGTAAAATTATTTTTAAATTGTAGCTCTAATAGTCATTCAATGAAGCCATAACTTACAATTTGCAAAAATTGAATCGTATGTGGTAAACAACCCTGTATAAAATTGCTTAAATTGGGGTCACAAAAAATCCTCCAACCTTCCTTATACCAATTTCTAGACTTTAAACCCTTCATCCCTTTCCAAACTACCCCCTTCCACTTCATTAAAACCCGCTGATCGTGTTCGAATTAGCTTAAGGAACGGTCGTAACTCAGTCAAGTTAACTGAAGGATAGACAGACGGACAACGCGGAAAGAGAGGGTTAACTAACTGGAGATTTATCGCCTTGACGTGGAACAGGCGGGGGTAGCGCGGGGGAGTAGACGGTGTTAAATTCCCTGTC